TTCAAAACGTGAAGGAAGTAGACTTCTAAATTTATAATCTGGCATGATTAGAACCACTGTCTAGTCTTGGGCGCACTGCTGTAGATTTAAATGTACTTTAAAATCCACTTTAGCCCAGCCAACATGTGACATTAATTTCTGTGTTATCTTTACCAAGGAACAGTAAACTGAGAAAGTTTTTAAAAGACAAATTTTCTTTGTAAGTTTACTAACCCAGCAATGCAAAAAAAAAAAAAAAGGGGGGGGGGGTATAATCCCAAATAAGGAATGTTTTTACATTTATTTTCTAAATTTAAGGAGTTAATTTGTTAATACCTATTTCCCCGAAAATAAGACAGTGTCTTATATTAATTTTTTCTCCCAAAGTTGCGCTAGGTCTTATTTTCAGGGGATGTCTTATTTTTCCATGCACTAGGTCTTATTTTCGGGGAAACACGGTAGATTGGTTCTAATGCAGTTAAGTTCTAATTTTTGTTGTTTTCATTCACCGTTTCCATACCTATCTTTACTAACTTTACCAGACCCTACCAAAAATGAGTAGTCTATTTGTCCTTAATTACTACATTTTTTTCTTTTGGTAAATCCTTACCCAAGGATATTTTTCCATTGATATTTAGAGAAAGTGGAAGGGGGGGGGTAGAGACAGAGAGAGGGAAACATCAATTGGTTGCCTTTTACATGCGCCCTGACCAGGGCCAGGGATCGAGCCTGCGATGGAGGTGTGTGCTCTTGACTGGAATCGAACCCAGGACTTTTCAGTCCGAGGGCCAATGCTCTATCCACTGATCCACACTAGCTAGGGCCTTAATAATTACATTTTAAAACACACTGATTAAATAGCCATATTCTGTGAGAATAACTGTTGTGAATTACTGCTTTTTTAAACATGCAAGCAAAAGGAATCTATGCCATAAATACCATCATCATTTCAAGTGTTACTTGTTTTTGTGAAAAATCATCTGAAGCAATGTCAGAGATGGGATGTCCTTATTATAGGAGGCTAGATATTTCACCCTATACCTTTTCAAATGACCTAAACATTGTTACTTAGATATACCAATACTGGAACTCAATCCACATTGGTAAAAATTATAAACAGTAGGCAAAAAAGAAAAACAGAGAAATAAAAGGAAAGAGAGCTGTTTTTCTTTAACTCGTTAACCTATACCCTCAAGTGCATTAGTAAATTCCTCAGTGCTCCCATAAACTTATACTTGTAATAATTCCCCTGAAGTCTGTCTCAAGGATATTTAAAAAAAAAAAAAATGATAAGGAAGTGAAGGTGATTTAACTTTAAGGTAATCTCAATCCCTAAAGATTATAGTAATTATCAATAAAAGTATGAAGGATGGGGGACAGGAGATTCCCAAAGACTGCCTTAACTGCTAGTTTAAACTAACTCCATTTATAGATACTTAACCTCTCTGTCACTTTCCTCTCTCATTTGTTAAAATGAGCATAATAACAGCACCTGCCTCACACAGTGAGGATTATATGTAAAACACTTATAATGGTGCCTAGTACATATTAAGCATCTTTTAAGTGTTAAGCATTTATTTTTAGAGATTGAGTTGAGATTACCCTGGTGCATTTATTGCTCTAAGACAGTGGTCAGCAAACTGAGGCTCTTTGGCCCCTTGAGAGTGGCTCTTCTACAAAATACCACATGCGGGCGGGCACGTACAGTGCGATTGAAACTTCATGGCCCATGCGTAGAAGTCGGTTTTCGGCTCTCAAAAGAAATTTCAATCGCTGTAGTGTTGATAATTGGCTTTGTTGACTAGTAATGAGTTTGCCGACCACTGCTCTAAGATAATGCAAACATTTTTCCATAAGGAAGACAGTGACTAGTTTCTTAAGGAAAGGTGACATGGGAGCATTTGTAGCCAGCAACTTAAAATTAACTACTGTACTAACAGGTTTCATTCAAGACATTCCTTGAATTAGAAATCATCACACCAAAACATATATCAAAGGTCTGACATTTTATCTCCTGGTTTAAATTCTCTACACCAGCTGTGTATCTTCTTGTAGAGATGTAGTAAGCAAGTCACAGGTGAACTTAGAAAGCAATTTCCCTTTTAGAAACCTTTATAGTATTTAGATCAAGATGTTATGAGAAATTAAGAATTTAATTTTATAATTCAAGTATATTATACTCAATAGAAAGGGCTTGTGTTTTGAAATTTTTTCTCTATTATAAACCTTGTTAATAATCAAGAAATCCTTATTAATCACCCCTTACGCCTGAGGATATGAAGTGGGCTAATCAAATGCTATTTCATTTCCCTGCCTTTTTTTTTTTTTTTTTTTTTTTTTACTACCTATTCTTTTTTTGTGGAACCCCAGGACTTTCTATCATATAAAATACAGTTCTGAAACTAGCATCCTTTTAAGGCAATATCTTCCCCCATCTTGTGAGGAACTCAGAAACTCAGGAAACTGCCCACAGCACTCTGGAAGTCAATGAGAAATCAAGACTATTCCTCATCTATTCAGGTTCAAAACTGAGTACATATTATTATGCTGCCTCATCTTAATATAATATCTATAAATTAATTCCATCAACTTCATTTTAATACTGAGAAATTTGCTTAAAAATGGTAAGATTCAGTGCAATTAAGATACAAAGTTATAGAAACAAGCATACAATGTTTGTAGCTTCTATTATATTCTATATGTTATTAGTAAATTAACTTCCAAATACAATTTGCAATTCAAATTGTTCCCTGCCTTTGTAATTCTATTCTATTGCTTTTGCCTGTGATCTCCATGGAGAGAGAACAGCATCTAAGATTATGTCATCCTCGTGGGTGATCTCATGTCTTAAACTATGGCTATAATCCAAAAGGTCTTTGGTTCCCTTCTATAATGAGTCTATCCTTCTACCTTAAACACTTCTTTTGCTGTTCCTAGTAGTGGCAGTTTGAGCTCTTTACTGATTTTTGTAAACCCTGGTTGATAATAGTTTTCTCTTTCATTTTTGCCAATTCATTCTACTCAATCTAAGCTTTAAAAAATTTAAACTGTGCCAAAACCGGTTTGGCTCAGTGGTAGAGCGTCGGTCTGCGGACTGGAAGGTCCTGGGTTCGATTCCGGTCAGGGGCATGTATGTTGGTTGCGGGCACATCTCCAGTAGGGGGTGTGAAGGAGGCAGCTGGTCGATGTTTCTCTCTCATCAACGTTTCTAGCTCTCTATCTCTCTCCCTTCCTCTCTGTAAAAAATCAATAAAATATATTAAAAATAAATAAAAGCATTTAAAAAAAAAATTTAAACTGTTTAGGTCACTGTAACACCAGTAACCATTATAACACTTTAAAAATCTCTTTTTTTGTTTTTTATATTCAACATCTTGGGATTACCCATTACAGTTAAATTTCCTCTTCTTATTACTTAACTTTGAATATTTGTTGCATAGACAGAGTGCTTGATATCGAAGAAATCTAAGTATTTACACATCCCAGCAAAAACAGTTGTTGCCATTTTTGCCAAAACTGGTTTGGCTCAGTGGTAGAGCGTCAGTCTGTGGACTGAAAGGTCCCAGGTTCGATTCCGGTCAGGGGCATGTACCTTGGTTTCGGGCACATCCCCGGTAGGGGGTGTGCAAGAGGCAGCTGGTTAACGTTTCTCTCTCATTAATGTTTCTAGCTCTCTAGCTCTCTCCCTTCCTCTCTGTAAAAAATCAATAAAAATATATTAAAAAAACAAAACAAAACAAACAAACAAAAAAAAACAATTGCTGCCATTTTCAACATCAATAGTCAGGGCAAAAATATTTCCACTGAGCCTTACCTCTTCATGTTTTAAACGTTCAGTTTAATTTTAACTTATTAATGTAACTTGTCCTAGGATCTCTAATTCTCAGACTTTACCATATAAGCTTGCTCTCTAAATTCCCCATCTCAGTTACCACAGCTCTGTGGCCTCTAAGAATAGGTTGGCTTTTTAACTTTTTATAACCTTTTTACACTCCTAGAATATTTATCTATATCCAAGAATGGGAAAATTTCATCTTATTTCTAACTTATGAAGACTTTCTATCACTAATATTCTCTGAATAAAGGGATTTTTATTTTATTTTTTAAATATATATATATATATTTTAATATATTTTATTGATTTTTACAGAGAGGAAGGGAGAAAGATAGAAAGCTAGAAACGTCGATGAAAGAGAAACATCGACCAGCTGCCTCTTGCACACCCCCTACAGGGGATGTGCCCACAACCAAGGTACATGCCCTTGACCGGAATCGAACCTGGGACCTTTCAGTCAGTAGACCGACGCTCTACCACTGAGCCAAACCGGTTTCGGCTTAAAATATATTTTATTGATTTTTTACAGAGAGGAAAGGAGAGAGATAGAGAGCTAGAAACGTTGATGAGAGAGAAACATCGACCAGCTGCCTCTTGCACACCCCCTACTGGGGATGTGCCCGCAACCAATGTATTATACATGCCCTTGACCAGAATCGAACCTGGGACCTTTCAGTCCGCAGATCGACACTCTACCACTGAGCCAAACCAGCTTCAGCGGATTTTTATTTTATTGAAGATACTATTAAGACAATAGCAGGGTCATGTAATATCAACTGAATTTTAAAACCATACATATCCAAATCTGAGTTTTATCCTAGTTCAACTAATTTTCCTTAAGGTACATGCTCCACAAATAAATTTCCCTTTCCTAAGATTATTTTAAACTTTTGGAAAAATATCTATTTCTCTAACCACTTGAATTCCTTATAGTGTCAGAGCAAAAGATCATATAGCTGGAAGGAACAGAGCTTACAGAACACCTGGTTTTATAAGTAAGGCAAAAAGAGGTCCAGAGGAGAAGGGTAGATACTTCTAGTCAAGCCTAGACTATTCTCAGACCAAGAATGGGATATTTTGCTAAATTAGTGACTGAGGTTATTCCTACTAAGACAAAGCACTTATAAAAGAGAACATTTGAAACCGTCAGAAGACCAAGATGATATAAGAGAAAGATATCACTTACCAACTGCACCTGACCCAAATGTATCATCATTGAATTGATCAATTTCTTCATCTTCCTCTCCCAGGCCTTGAAATGCATCCTCATCTTCATCCAGAGGACAATCCTCCAAAGACTAAAAAGAGAAAAGAGATTTAGCTATTCATGAAGTTCACAACCGCATTGTAAAGTGTTCTAAAAATGTTCATCTTACTTTCCCAATCAGCGTAATATCTTCATTATGACTTTTTGTAAAAATGCCATTTTTTCTACCCCTCAATTTCCCCAACATTGGAAAATTTCATTATCTTCTTTTCTTTCAGTTTCTCTTTCCCTTTCCTTATTTAACCTTTCCCTGTAAACATTCCATTTCTCTATCAGAAATCTAATAAGAGCATTTCCTCATGATCTGCCAACTTCCTTTACATGACTAGTTAGAATAATGACAAATGAAATGAACCCTTTGAGTTATAGTTTACTGTTCAACAAAATTTTCACCTTCCCCATATTCATGTAATCTTTTCAACTATTTTATTATTCTCTTTTAAAGCTTTCTCTTCATTTTTTATCTTTCCCCTTTTCTATTTCCTATTGGCCCAAACTCTGGTGATAAAACAGAAAGCTAAAATTTTCAACCACAATTAAGGAAATTCTCAAAAAGCTGTGATATGCAAGTTCAAGTTCTGACTCCACTCTTAAAAGTGATGTTAACTTGGGCAAATCATTTTTTAAAATTAATTCATTAAGTACCTCTTGAGCACCTATTGTGCGACAGGCTTTGTTAAGCTCAAGTCTCAGTCTCCTAAGAGATAATAGAGGAGCAATATCACCTACCTCAAAGTTATGAGGATTAAATGAGGAAGAGATTTAGTCAAACACTTGGGGTTGCTGAACAATGCTAGATATCACCATAACAACTTAGGTAGGTTGCATTGTAAACATTTCCTCCTTACACTTTAGTTTTTAACTGATTTTCTAAGTTTTCTTTTCTTTTGGCAACTGCCTATCACTTATCACCTTCCTCCTTATTTTCATAGTTTGGTTTTAAACAAATTTCCTATCAATTATCAAGGGTGTCCATAATTTTCAAAGACTCATAATCGGAAGGCAGGATTGTGTTACACCCTTCCTGGCTACCTCCAAGTTTAGACTGTTCCCAATGGGTACGGTTAAGCCAAAGGGCCATTTCACCCATCTTAAGTCCTCACAAACGTACACAAAGCTGGTATGCAACTGCTTCCACCTTTAAGGCAACATCCAGGGGCACTCCTCCCAAATCACCAAGATCTACTTTAACCAAATCACTGTTGTTTTTTTTAATTGGAAAGACTTTTAGGGATTATGCAGACAAGCCCCTTTATTCTACAAACCTGGAGACTTTATGGTCAGAGATTAGAAGTCGCTCAAGGTCATACAGCGAATTAGTGACAAGCTCTGGACTCGTACTATTGCTACATCACCGGGACCGTCACCAAGCCCACGTCTCCCTCCACTTGCCCAAAAGGAACTTGTGCTGGACACGCCCCCTCCCAACTCCCAGGCCTCTTCAGTAAAACAGGCTACGGACCCAGTCAAAGGGCAAGCCCAGGCCCCATTGACCCGAAGGTTTCCTGGGAGTATAGGTGTGTGTAACTGGACGGAAGGTGGTTCCTGATCCAGGGCGGGAAACGTGTCTCTGGGATTTCCCAGGTGACTCTTCCTCCAGAAGAGCCACCGGATGGATGAAACGCCTTCCCTTGCGCGGTTCCTCCCGAGTTGGGGCTTGGCAGGTGGTCCGGTTAAGTAAGGCACTTAACGGGCCCTTCCCACCTCAAAACCGAGGCCAACTCTACCCAGCGACAAGTAAATAGGACAGTCCCGTCCCCCGAAGCCAGCTCACACAGCTCTAGGGTGAAACCCACGACCCCATGTGCGAGGCGCTCCTCTGAGTTCCCGGGGGTCCCTCCGCCCAACGCCCCCACCCGTCCTCCCGAGCGCGGGACAGAAGCTCAGGGGATCAGAGAGGAAAAGGGGATCGCGAGGGAGGGAGGGGTCACTTCCGGTCGCCGCAGCTCACCTCGTAGCGGAACATTCTTGGGGAGGGGGAGGGAGCGGGGAGGGGGGAATGGGGAAAGGGAGGGAAAAAGAGTTGACTCCCCGGGCTCCTCCGCGCGCGCGGGTCCTCCACCGGCTCGCGACCCCCGGCCGCCGCCGTACGCCGGAGCGTGCGTGGGGACGTGCGCAGGCGCGCCTGAGGGAGGGCGGCCACTCCGCGCTGCACCCGGCGGCGGCGTCTGCGCGGGGACAGATTTGGCGTCCGGCTTCCTACACTCGGCGGCGGGAAGGAGGGCCCGTGGTGTGAGATTGCGCACGCGCAGCCGGCCGAAGGGGGGCGGGCTTCCTCGCCTTCCGACTGGCAGCTCCGCCCCGGTTTTCTCTGCGCCCGCCCAGCGCCCGGGTCAGTCACGAGTTTTCCGTCACTGCTTAGGGCGGAGGAAACCCTTGTGATTGTCACAGGATATGGCTTTGAAGAGTTCCTGGCTTAGTCTAAACTGCAAGAACGGGAGATTCCTGGGCTTTCCCCCCCCCCCCTTTTTTTTCTTTTCTCTTTTCTAACGCCCAGCACAGTCTGGGATGCTCGGCGGTCCTCAACATATATGCTACCCGCCAAGTGGAGGGGGGGAAAAATAGAAAAGTTCATGTCATCCAAAGGGGCTGAATACGTCGCCACTTTCTGGGGCACATCACCCGCCGAGTTCACAACAGGTCTGGGCAGGGATTTATGTGTCCCAAAGTGGCGATGGCGCCCGGTTTTTAAAAAGCCGAAGGCATGCTCCGGGAGGTTCCACCAGGGCGGTATTTTTAGGCTCCAGGCGCTCCGGGCACGTGGAGCGGGAGAGCCAAGAAGAGCAGCGCGGCCGCGGGCAGCAAGGTCATAGAGGCGGGGAAGCGCCCGGCTGAGTGCGCTGCGGGGCGACACCCCCTCCTTAGAGGCTCAAAGCTGGAAAAGAGTGTCCAGATTATGAGCCTCAGCACACTGATTCCAGAAATCTGGGTTATTTGTAGCAGCCGTTAGGCATCTCCCACGCCCTTTCAGCATTAGATCTCACGAAATTATCTCTTTCCTCCCCAAGGACCAAACAAACTTGCATCGCGAAGAATTAAGTTCTTGTGCATTTCACAACTCCTTTCCCTGGGTGTCTTAAAATGCAGCCTCGCCTTGGAGTGAGTGATACACAGTAAATTCCTTTCCTGTTAGTGTGGTTGGATTCATCAGAGCCTGTTGGAAATAAAAGTTCTGGGTGTGGATCAGTGCTTTCTGTCCGTTTTGGGAACACTATGTAAACAAGTTTGAGCCTTAATTTCTTTGTAAAATGGGTTTAATGATACTTACAGAGTAGTGGTTCAATGGCCGGATGATGCCAATACTACCACTAATGATTGAAGTTTGCCTGGCACTCTGCTAGGTGTTTTAGATGGATCATCTCACTGAATCTTTTCTTGTGCCAACCCTATGCCGTAGGTACTTTATAGATAAGGAATCTGAGGATTAGAGATGTTAAGTAATTTGTCCCAAACCACCTAGTGGCAAGTGGCAAAGCTGGCAACTGAGATTTGTCTGATTCCAGACACCCAATCTGTTAATCCTGTCACAATTTAACAAAAACAAATGTTTACATGCGCTAGGCCTGAACCTTAAAGAAGTGGAACAGGTCAAAGATAGGATGGTAATTAATTGGTTTGCAAGTATGCATGGAGTGCTACAAAACTTGGGCTAGGTAACCTCAAGTCTCAGAGAATTGGTGCCCTATGAATCAAGGGTTGGCAAACTATAGCCCTTTGTTGAATCTGGCTAGTTGCTTATTTTTGTTATTGTTATTAATCCTCACCTGAGGATATTTTTCCATTGATTTTTAGAGAAAGTGGAAGTGAGAGGGACAGACAGAAAGAAACATTGATGTAGGAGAGACATTTGGATGGGTTGCCTCCTGCACTCACTGGGTTGGGATGCACCCTGACCAGGATGCAGTCTGCAACTAAGGTATGTGCCCTTAACTGGAATGGAACCTGAGACTCTTCAGTCTGAGGATCAATGCTCTCTCCACTGAGCCAAACTGTCTAGGGCTCTATAGGGTTTCTTGATTGTTTTCAGGACAAGGCAGCTTCTCCCGGAGAGAGGTCACAGTATCTCTGATGACTGGGTTCAGAAGTCATATGTATCACTTCTTCCACATTCTATTTGTTAGAAATAAGTTAGTTCAGTCCACGCTCAAAGGGAAGGATATAAGGAGATCCTTATAAAGGAAGAGGTAACAAAGAATTTATGGACATATTTTAAAACTGCCACAGTCTGTTTGAAAGAAGGACTATTTGTTTTAATCAAGTTTATGGAAAAATAGATTCTAATATTATGATGTGATTATAAAATACTTGTAAATAAGGAGGTGTTGGTATAGGAATATACAGATTGATTTACAGAACAGTAAGCAATAAACAACAGCAAAAACTCCATTTATAGATGACAAAGATGACACCTCAATTCAATAGATTGATAAGTTTTATGTAAAAATTTACACAAAAAGCAAGAACAAAATGTAGGTGAATATTTGTATGATTTCAGAATAAAATTTCAGAATTTAATTACTATGAAAATCACAAGGCAAAATTTGAATACCAAATTTCATAACGAGAAATATAATCATTGACAAACTAAATATAAAGACTTTAAATTCTTTAAGCATTTTAGAAAAACCCATAAAATTTAAATGGCTATAAAATATATAAAACCCCAATTTTTTTTTTCTTTTTTGATTCTTTTGTTGTTGTTAATTCTCACTCAAGGATATTTTTCCCGTTGATTTTTTTTTTTTTTTATAGAGAGTGGAAGGGACGGGGAGAGAGACATCAATTTAAGAGACAGACATTGTCAGGGAGTGCCAATACATGAGACTTATTTGAAAGCCATTCTGGGTCTGGACTTCCTACTTTTTGTAATAAAAAGGAGTTTTAATCAGTTTTAACACACAAAGCAAGAACAAAATGTAGGTGAATATTTGTATGATTTCAGAGTGAAATTTCAGTTTTAATTAGAAGAAAGAGATAACAGAGCCATCTTACAAAGAACATTCAGTTAATAAATTTACTACACATATACTAAATGCCTGGCATATTTCTGGCCTTAAGTTTAGGGCTGGTTCCACATCAATGAGGAGAAGAGACAAAGCTGCTGCCTGCACAGAGCTTGCAGAAGGGGTGGGAGGCAGACTGTACCCCTGTAATTGGTGTGGTGGAGGCTCTGATGGAAGAAGCCCAGGGTATCATAGAGGTAGCTCAAGGGCGACTTAACTCAGTCCTGGTGGGTGAGGATCTCAGATATGGGGGAAAAGAGAGCTCTGCGAAGGCGAAATAGCATAACTTCGGCATTAATTGGGATTTGAACTATGTACCAGGCAGCCCTCTAGATAGCTACTGGTCTTCATTCCCTTGATTGTGGGTTGAGCCTCATGACTCACTTCTAATGAACAGAATATGGCAATATCGATGGCATGTCACATTTGAGATTAGGTAAAAACCCGTTGGCTTCCATCCATCTCTTCTGTTTTTCACATTCCCTATCGCTTTCTCTCTTACCTGCTCACTCTGATGGGAGGCAGCTGCCATATTGTGGGTTGCCTTATGGAGAGGCCCACATAGCCAAGAGGGTGGCCTCCAGCCAGCAAAGAACCAAGGCCCTCTGTCCAACAGCCCGTGAGGGCTGAGTCCTGCCAGCAGTTACATGAGTAGCCTTAGAAACACCCTTTTCCAGTCAAGCATGAAATAGGACTGCAGCTCCAGCTAACACCTTCACTGCAGTCTCGTGAGAGATCTTGACACAGAGGCACTCAACTGAGCTGCACCTGGATTCCTGAATCACAGAAGTTTTAGGACAACTTGTTATGCCACCATAGATAATATACAAACTGTAAGGAGCAAAACTACAAGTCAAAGAGTTTATTCTCCATCCTGGTTATTCTCTATTCTTCCTGCCATGGGGAATAATATATGTGGAGGATAGAAAAACTCCTCTTTTTAATTCTTTAATTCTCTAGCTCTCCTTATTTTTTTTAATTGTTGACAGTATTATAGATGTTGCCGGAAACCAATCATTGTCTCACTAATAGAAAGAGGCTGGTCAACCTTGAAGCTCTGAAAGGTCAGAGCCAACCACTCCCTATCTAATTGAGGCATTGGTAACTGAGGCAACTTCCCCATCTTGTAATCATGTAAATCCTTACTGATATGATAATCCACTTATTACCTGCCTAAGGGATATGGGTGTTTTCCAAAGCTGCTTAAGGGTAATGGGTGTATCCCATAGCCTCAATAAAAGGGATAGTAAGGCCAGAGCCTAGTGGTAGTCTTCCCACTAGAAGTTGACTCCTGCCTGGCCCCCCATTTTTTCAAATTAACTCTTTTCCAGTCTCTTCATTTTAGTGTGTGGCCTCCTCCAGAAAGTGGACCCTGAGTGGGCCCTGAACCACATGGGTCATGTTAAGGCATCCCACAAGATGTCCTCCAAATTCCCCCCTTTTACCCTCCTCCTCCCAGGGCTGCCTCATCACAGGCCTTCACCACACTATTATCTGTGTCCACTAGTTATGAATATCCTATATAATAAAAGGCTAATATGCAAATTGCCTGAATGGCAGAATGACCAGTTGCTGTGACATGCACTGACCACCAGGGGGCAGGCACTCTGGCGGTCAGTGAACTCCCCTAGCGGGAGCACTGCTCAGTCAGAAGCAGGACTCATGGCTGCCAAGTGCAGCAGCAGTAAAAGGATGTCTGATTGATGGCTTAGAAGTTCAAAAGACTTAAGTCATCAGTTGGATATCCCCCAAGGGCTCCCAGACTGAGAAAGGATACAGGCAGGCTGAGTGGACCCCCTCACCCCACTCTGTGCATGAATTTCGTGCACTAGGCCTCTAATATGTATATAAGTTCTTTGGTTAATCTCTTCCCATTTTCCCCTCTGAGATATGTCAGTACTGAACACCACACTCTGGAGATACTACCTTAAGGTACACCAACCAGAAAGTTGTCTCAGCTATT